AATGGTATTGGCTATAGTATGGGGAATGGTATTGGCTATAGTATGGGGAATGGTATTGGCTATAGCATTGGCTATGGTATTGGCTATAGTATTGGCTATAGTATTGGCTATAGTCCCCCCAAACCTCCCTGGTGCCGTCCGTCGTTCTGCACAACTCGAAGCAAATTACTTACCGCACCAAAACATTTTATTGTTAATTGTACTCTTTTTTCTAAATAATTTTCATCAACTTTTTTTTATCATCTCACATTTTTTTTTATTTTTACACCGCGGCTATCAGAGACTGGGCCCTGACCGCCCGCTGCGCTGCGGACAAACGCTTAGTTTTGTTTCCGAACGATTGGCCCGACCACGACTGAATCGCAAACTCCACCCCAGGGCGAGCAGTAGCGAGAACAATTTCCCAGCCCTTGGTATGTTGATGTACATCTTAGCACATAGCCTGCCGTGCTAATTGCAGTGTACGGTAGTGTAGTGTGTAGTAGTGTAGAGTAGTGTAGTGCATAGTGTACTGTATAGTAATGTAGTGTGTAGTCGTGTAGAGTGTAATAGTGTAGTGTATAGTGCAGTGCATAGTGTAGTGTATAGTAGTGTAGTGTAAAGTAGTGTAGTCTACAGTAGTGTAGTGTTGTATAGTAGTTTATATGTTTGTTAAACTTCTTTCGCACCGTATGTAGGTGCGGGAGAAGGACGACAAACTTAACACAAAAAGCAGTTCCAAAGAAATTCGTTTTCCAACAACATGATGATTTAAAAGCGCGTAGCTCCCAGCGGCTTCCTAATGTGGGAAGGAAGGGCGTTCCGAACGGCCGCAGAAGCGCATCTGAAAGCCCTTGTGAGCTCAGTCCACCACCACCACAGCGAGCTGTTCGTCGGTAGCAAAACTCATTCCAGCGGCCTCGTATCGTGTCAACCCCCACGGTTTAACCCCGTAGTCTTGTGCAGGAAAATTGAGTTATCAGGTCCATACGGCGTACAGACGTTTCAATACAAGCAAAATATATATGTCTGTGTTTCTCCCTTGTGATGGGACTTTGTACGATGAACGTTGAGATTTATAAGGGGCACGGGGTGACCAGTAAGATCTGAATTGTTCCGTAATAAGGTAGGGCACTGATAAGGAGTTGACAGGTTTGAGGCCTCCTCTGGAGGCTTCTGCAAACATTATTTCTCTCTTCTTCTTTTTCTTCCTCTTCTTCTTCGTCTTCTTCTTCTTCGTCTTCTTCTTCTTCTCCTTAAAATCCCCGCCGTGACGCCCGTGACGTGGATAACCGCCCCGGTTCGCTCGTGAACAAAACTCCCGAGTCCATTTGAAGACCTGCCACATTCCCCACCCCCCCCCCCCCGCCCCTCTAGCGCGTGGACCAGAGGTCACGAAAACGGACCACGGAGGGTAGCTCGAGTGGTGATACCCACTTCTGCGGACCGCCGCCTAACTGTTGCGTGGGGCCCGGTGGGCCGAGACCATCGAACCAGGCTTAGTCGCGGGCGAAGGCTGACACCCGGACTCCAGCCCCAGAGATTCAGCGCCTAGACCTCCGAGTGCGGCTTCCGCAGGCCGCTGACTAACCGACCCTGTCTCGTGACGTGCCACCGATAGCGTAATCGGGACGTAGATTTAAGGGGAGGGGCGAAGAGGTGGGGGGGGGGGGAGATAGTGCGGGGTGGGAGGAGGAATGAACCAAAAACAATCCGCTGCGTTATTATCTCTATAAACACTGCCTATTCTCTCTCTCTCTCTCCCCATGAGCTATTATTGGTGAAACTTCTGCGCCGTCTCTTTGGCCGCACTGCAGCGAAGGGGGTTCTGGAAGCCGCTTCTTCACCTGCAGGACTCCACGTGATTCTCACCGCTCGTGCGGGGGTGAGTGGGGGGGGGGTCGTGACCCCGTCCCCGCAGAATCCGTTGCTAAATCGTGGGATGACGTTGAGGCGACGTTTTGCTTTTTGACCGGGGAATTTGGCCAGCGGAAGCCACGAAGGTTGAGTCGACCCGCCATTATCCAGACGCCGCCGAACGCAGCCCTCTGGCTCACCTCACCTCCACGTACAGCCTGGGGTGCCACGGTGCCTAGGAGACGTTAACTACCTCGCCTGGTATGCAGGAGGTCGTGGTCGTGGCTTCGATCCAGACCCTGACGCCTGCTGCTGTATATTTGGAGTTTGCACGTTCCCATTCTCCCCGTGGTCGCGTGGATTTTTCTCCAGGTCCTCCGGTTTCTCTCTCCACATTCCGAATCAACATCACGCGTTAAGAATATTCGGCGGCTATAAATTTCCACGTGATGATAAGCCACTTCGTTGAGGAATCATTCGTGGCCAGGTCGCTTCTGGAAAAGGGCTACATAGCTTAGTGTGGCCTTCACCGGTTAAAATAAAAAATAGTTTTAGTACTTTATGGCTTTAGTCTCAGCCCGGTCGCCGATGACCGGGCAAGCAAAGGAAAAAAAACTAAACGAGTACATTTCTTTCGCGCTCAATTCAGATAAATTCCCACGCGACCACCACAAAACACCACCCCCCCCCCCCTGCCCCCCGCACCCACACGCTGGTGGCCGGCCAACGTCCTGGCACAAGCGGCCAGGACGATCCGACCGCCCCCCGCCCCTCCCCACCATCCCTCTCGGTGCCGGCCTGCGTGGGCGGCGGCGCGTTCCACCCTCCCGTCGCCGATACGCGAGAGGGAAACTGTTCAACCCCGCCGAGCGCAACCGCGGGGGCGAGCGGCGGCCGACCGTCCATGCGCCGGGCCGATCTCGCTCATCCCCCCCCCCCTCCCTCCCTCCCCCTCCGCGAGCCGTCGTCAAGCGGCTCCGGGGTCGTCCGCGGAGCCGCGGCCGCTCGTCCGGCCCTCTACGCTGGAACGGAAAGCGCTTTTTTGTTGTTCCAGAGGCAGATCTTCATCTCTGCGTCCCGGGGCGTCTCGCGATCAGAGAGCCGCGGCCGTGTCGGAGAGGGGGCCAGGTCGCGGGCTCGGATCTCGTGGCGGCGGAGGCGGAGGGTGGGGGCAGTGAACCACCCCAAGGTCTCAATAAGCGCCCCGAGAATTAAATCTTTACTGTTGTGTCGGCGCAGCGGTCAGCGACCTGGACTCGGGGTTCAGAGGTCACCGGTGGTTCGGCTCTGGCACGACCGGCGGCGGCCGTGGGGGGTGGGTTTGTTTAATCCACCCCACCCCACCCCCCAACGTGGTCCTACTGCCTGTCCCATGTCGCAGTGACTCGCGGATTAAATGAAGCCACCCGCTCACCCCCACCCCCTGCTCGGCGTTCCGCCATCTCAGCCGTGCGCCACTAATTCAGGAAGCAGCCGTCTGGTAATTGAGCAATTGGGGGGTAATTCTCTGATAATCGTGAGCGCTGCTTTGGCGCGTGCTCGCTCGCTCTGCTCGTGAGACGAGCGTCAAGGGGAGAGTCGGGAGCGCCGCACGACAGCGCAAGTCACGCTGGCTAGGAGATGTTAACTACCTCGCCTGGTGTGCAGGAGGTCGTGAGTTCGATCCCGACCCCAACCCTGACGCCTGCTATATATTTGAAGTTTGCGTGTCTCTCTCTCTCCGTGATGAGATGTTAACTACCTCGCCTGGTGTGCATGAGGTCGTGGGTTCGATTCCGACCCTGAAGATGCCTGCTGTAAATTTGGAGTTTGCGTGTCTCTCTCTCATCTTCATGACGGTGGCTAGATGTTAACTACCTCGCCTGGTGTTCAGGAGGTCGTGGGTATGATCCCGACCCTGACGATGCCTGCTGCTGTATATTTGGAGTTTGCACGTCTCTCTCTCTCTCCCCGTGGTCGCGTGGATTTTTCTCCAGGCCCTCCGGTGTTTCCCTCCATATTTAGAGTCAACGTGATTGCCAGGTCGCTACGTAGCTCAGTGGGGTCTTACCTTTTAGGATGGGGATGGTTTTGTTTTATCTGTATGTGTTTGGGTGGTTTGTTTCCCTTTTCTGTTCTTTGCACTCCTATCGTGTTTGTGTGTTGTGTTTGTTGTTGTGTTTGTGTGTTGTGTTTGTTGTTGTGTTTGTGTGTTGTGTTTGTTGTTGTGTTTGTGTGTTATGTTTGTGTGTTGCAACGTCCTCACCCCGTGCCCCTACTGGACATCTGTGACAAAGAGCTACAGCGAATTCCTCCTGCAGTAAAAAATATTGTGATAAAAATAAAGTTGAATTAGTTTGTAGTTTAAGTCGCCTACACCGCCACGCCGTGCCCCCCCCCCCGCGGAGCCCCCCTCCCCCCCCCCGGAAAGTGGTGGTGTAGCCACGGATCGTTGAATCTGTCCGTGCGGAGCTTTGGCTCCCTACTCGAGGAATGTTTGCCGAACCGATTGCTCCGTTGCAGTTTACTCTGTCCCACTTTGCCTTGCGAGGGTTAAAGGGCGCCGGCCCTGTCGCGGCCGCGGCCGCGTGTTACGATCCGTGATTTAAATTTCGGGGTCGGGCTGCGCGAGGAACGTGTTGTCGTACGCCCTCCTCCACCTGACTGCACCCCCCCCCCCCCACCACCCTCCACCCCCTCTGGCCAATTAGTAAAAAGTCGTGGGTCCCAGAGTGAGGCCCGGCCCAGCCATACCCAAAGCCCTCCTATAACCCACCTCTCCCCTTCTGGAATGTTCTCTCAACCGATTCTCCCTCTCCGCCCGCCCCCCCCCCCCACCAATGATTTTCTAATCGACCACTCCCTCTCTCTCTCCGCTTGATCCTCCCGAGCCTGGGGCCCCTTCGCACCGCGCCACCAATCGGCGTTTCCCGGCGTTCGCTCGCAGCAGCCACCGACCGCGCGAGTCAAAGTTCACGGGGGGGGAGGGAATCGATGAGATAAATCCACGGCAACAGTAACCATGGTGGTGGCAATAGAACAGCGGTAAGGAGGCGGCGCCACCGTTCGACCGGCGCGACATCGCCACGGCAACGCGAGGGCCGCGTGACGTCACAAAGGGGGGAGGGGGCGGAGCGAATCGTCACGCGGCTAACGCCGTTCTTCCTCCCCGCCGTGCGCCGCAGATTCCCAGGATCCTTCGCTCTCGGCCGCCCTCTCGGCCAGCGAGGAGGCCACGTCGGTGATGGAGGAGGTGGTGATGTACACCTTCCAGCAGACGGTCTACTACATCACAAAGGTAAGGCACACGAAAGCTGAAGAATGCAGAAGGAGAAGCGTGATCGTCGTCGGCGTCGTAAGCCAGGGTCTCTCCGCTGCTGGGCGAGGCCTTTCTCGCACACACCGTCACTGTCGTTCTTTGAACTTCTTTCGCGCCGTACGTAGCCGGCCGTGCCAATGGGAGCAGTCGTCAGGAAGCGGGTCTTCAACGGAGACGATTTAAAAGGCGGCCGTCCCGCTGCCGCGCGCCGGCCGATCTCGTCGCTCCATCTCCGCGTCGGTCGAAAAACCCTCGGGGGGGGGGCGGGGCGTCCCCCGCCGGCTGCCGCTCGGGGTGAAGCGCAGCAACTCGTTGCGGCGTCGGTGGGAGGGGGGGGGGGCTGGCGAAACGGACGCTCGCCTGCCGCACGCTCGCACGTTGAAGCTCTTTCTCGCCGTACGTGGCCGGCCGCGCTCATCGGAGGTGCGCGGGGGGGGGGGGGGGGGGGGCGGGGGGGGGGGGGAAGGACAACTAACTAAGGCACAAAAAGCAGTCGTGAAGACATGAGTTTTCAATCTGGATGATTTAAAAGCGCGTAGCTCCAGTGGCTTCCGAATATCGGAAGGGAAGAGCGTTCCAGACGGCCGCGGAAGCGCTCCTGAAAGCGCCGCGCGACGATGCGGCCACCACCGACTTTGTCCGACGGCCGAGCCAAGAGCCGCCGCCGCCGCTGCTGCTGCTGCGAGGGTGAGCGGAGTTCTGGTGATGGTGGTCGTTTATCGCTCCTTGACGAGGTCCGCCAAGGTAACTGGCGGTTCGTTTGCGGCAAGCACTTTGTGTGCAGCGAGCGCGAACCTCACGAAATTACCCACAATCCACCGGCGCAGCCCGCGATACACGTTCTACACTGTCGGCGTACTGCACCGAACGGACCCTGCGGTGTCCGTGGAAAGGGGCCGTCGCTTCTCTTGAGCAGCCCTGCCGACGGCATCTGCAGGGCTTGCGGGGAATTGTTGGTGCCGGTTCACCGCGTGGCTGCTGCCTTCCCGCCTCCGTGGGCCCGTGCCGTAACGAAGGCGGCTTAAAGCAGCGATCCGAAGCGGTTGTCCGTCTGATGACACGTGACCGCGGGTGGTGCGGGGCGGCTGAGAAAACATCGCGCGGGGCGGAGGTTGCTGTTGGTGGGGGGAAAATTGGGGGCGAAAGACAAAAATGCCGTCGGAAAAAGAAAAAAAAACATCCGCTTGGAAACAGATTGTTGACGGCCTCGTATTAGAATTTTTTTTTATGTTTCTATGACTTTCATTGTCAATTTTTTTACAACATTCCCCCCCCTCCCCCCCCCGGAGACTTCACGCACAACTCAAATCCCGCACGGTCGGCTCGGTTTACGAATCCCTGCAGGTAAAGTAACGACTGCGCGCAATTATCGCGCGCAAGCTAGACGGTAAAGGTAATCGCGAACAAGGACGACTCTCGCACACGGACACGCGCGCACGCGCGCGTTCTTTTCTTTACACCGCATATCTACGTAATTAAACAGCTTGTGAAGTCAACAAAGGTAAAGATTGCCCCGCCCCCCCACCGTGTATTCTTAACAGACTGTTGGGGCAAGTGCTGTTAGCGAGCGCCTACAGAGGCCATAACGGCACACGAGGGGGTGGGTGGCCAGCACCACGCCCGGCCGCCTTTGTCTCGCCGGTGGCGATGTCTTTACACACCGCACCAGGTGCTAATTTGAGGCTGAGTCGACCCAGGGGAGGCCCAGGACCGGTTCAGATAATCGTCACCGGTGTCAGCCGTGAGCGGGAATCGAACTCGGGTCGCCGGGTTTGTAGCGCAGCGTAGCGCTAACCGCTGCACCACCGCTCGCCACTACACTAATGACAACGCACGCACGCGCGCACGCGCGCAAACCCGCACATTCAAGTTGGGGTTTCATTCGATTTTGACGAAATCGAAGCTCTGAGAATTGCCTCGTCGTGAACAATTACTTCTCTGCTGCGGCAGGGCGGGCGGCAAGTTTCTGGAAGTTGCTTGAAGAAGAGAGCCCGAACTTAAAGTAAAACGGTTTTTATTTCACGAAGTTAAGGGCCCCAACTAAGCTACGTGGCTCTTTTTCAGAAGCGACCTGGCTATCCCAAATGATAGCCCGACGAAGTGGCCTATTATCGCGTGGACATTTATAGCAGCCAAATAACTCTACTCGCGTGGCGATGTCAATCCTAAATGCGGAGGGAAACAACCGGAGGAGCCGGAGCAAAATCCACGCGAACACGGCGAGAGAGAGAGACACGCAAACTCCACATATGCAGGCGTCAGAGTCGCGATCGAACCCAAGACCTCCTGTACACCGGGCGAAGGCGATAACATCTCGCCACCGTGGCGCGTTGTAGCTCTGTGGCATCCACTTCCGTGGGCCGTTCTCTGCACTGCCCTGCGAGAAGAGATCAGCGTGCCTTCCTTTCGGCCAATGCTGGTGAACCGCCGGACGTTTATTAGACAAAGGTTCGAGTTTGACACGAAACTCCATAACGCTCACAGCCACCAACAACAACAATAAGGACTAATCGTCAGGGTCGTGGTGGAGAAGCTAGATAAATGGCCCGGCTTTGTCTAGTTAAGACCGCGGGGCGCGGCAATGACCACGACGAGACTGCGTGCCGCCCGCTTGGCTCGGAGTGGACGCAAAGGATCCAAACTACGAAAAATCTGTCGCAAGTCCCTCGGTTCGGGATCCCGCGCGTGCTGCAAGCCGATACCGCACGGTGCAACTGTATCGTCAATACCATATCGCCAGTACCACGTGGTGCAACAGTATCGTCAATACCATATCGCCAGTACCACGTGGTGCAACAGTATCGTCAATACCATATCGCCAGTACCACGTGGTGCAACAGTATCGTCAATGCCATATCGCCAGTACCACGTGGGGCAACAGTATCGTCAATACCATATCGCCAGTACCACGTGGTGCAACAGTATCGTCAATACCATATCGACAGTACCACGTGGGGCAAAAGTATCGTCAATGCCCTTCATTTTCTGTTACATTCCGCACAATGAAAGCGACGAGTCATCTCCTTCCCACGGTCGCTCTTAAGCCCCCCCCCACACACACACACACGTCCTCACGGCCACGACGAGGTTTTTGCGATGGTCAACGTCTCCCACGCGTAATCGCCACGATTCTTCCACGGTGACGGTGGCTGCACGAGCAGCTGTCGTGGGTTCAATCTGCCCGTTCCCAGCGTCTCCTCCCTAGTGTTGCCACCACCACCACCCACTACCACCACCAGCCACTACCACCACCAGCCACCACCACCACCACCCACTACCACCACCAGCCACCACCACCAGCCACTACCACCAGACACTACCACCACCACCACCCACTACCACCACCCACTACCACTACCAGCCACCACCACCCACTATACCCACCCGTGCCCGCAATGCCCCATGTTGTGTCCTGGGAGCTTCTTGGCACACGATTGTAAACACAATGCTGATAATTATTACGCAGCATAAACAAAGACAAAGATCCCCCCCACCGCCACCCCCGTATAGCCTCAACAGACTGTTGGGGCAAGTGCTGCTAGCGTGTAGCCACCTACGAAGGCAGGTACGGCACACGAGGGCGGTGGGTGGCCAGCACCACGCCCGGCCGCCTTTGTCTCCCCGGTGGCGATGCTAAACTACACACCGCACCAGCTACTCATTTGAAGCCGAGTCGACCTAGGGGGGAGGAGGCCCAGGACCGGCGATGCAGATCATCGTCACCGATGTTGGCCGTGAGCGGGAATCGAACTCGGCTCCCCGGGGGTTCGTAGCTCGGCGCGCCTACCCCTCCCCCCTTGGTGACCGCCACACACGCCGGGCTGCTGCTGCTGTGTGTGTGTGTGGGGGGTACACGTGCGCACACTAGCACCGTTTATTCCACCGCGGCTGTGGCGGTGGCGTTCGCCCGCAAGGCATCCGTTGTGCCGCGCCGCACGCCGGAGCCGAAATCTGCCCGCATTGTGAAAGCGCGACACTTTTGATGCCACGTCGAGCGAGCCTTTGAAGGCCACGTTGGAAGGAGCGATAAAAGTAACCGGCAGCCCATCGATTGCTTTTGAGCGCGCCGCTGCTGCCGAGATTTGCCTCCACTGGGACCCCCCCCTCCCCCCGCCATGGAAAGGATTAATTTAAAATCAACGTTGGAGGGGGGGGGGAAGGGGGCGCCACAGTAGCGAGGAGATGTTAACTACCTCGCCTGGTATGCAGGAGGTCGTGGGTTCGATCCCGACCCTGACGACGCCTGTTGCTGTGCATTTGAAGTGTGCGTGTCTCTCTCTATTTCCATGGTCGCGTGGATTTTTCACCGGGGTCCTCCAGTTCCCCCCCCCCCCGCCCCCGAATTTTGGTTTAACGCCACGCGTCTCGAGTTGTTTGGCTGCTGCTATAAATTTCCACGTGATGACGATAAGTCCACTTCCGTTGAGCTATCATTTGTGATAACCAGAGTTGTTTCTGAAAAAAGAGAGCGAAATAGCTCAGTGGGACCTTACCTTGTAAAATACAATTTTAAAAATTTAGTTTTTAACGATACAGCCATCGAATGTGGAATTTCCACCACCGTTTCGGCAGGGCTTTGAACAGGAAACGAGCACCGATTGTGACTCGACGTTCATTTAGACGGTGGCTCTCAACTCTGCCATTTAAGCCGAGGGGGTTACGGACTTGGGTTGAGCTGAGTTCGGGCCCGGGGTTTGGAGTCCAACTCTCCAGCTAGTGGCCAGCCGCTGCCTACCATGGTGCGGCTGGCCAGAGAATCTAAACGAAAACTAAACTCTGTTTTTTATTGTTCCCAGGTATAATGCCCACTGAGGCGTGTAGACGTTTATCAGAAGCGACCTGGTTATCACGAATGATAGCTCAACGAAGTGGCTTATCATTATCATCACGTGGACTTTTATAACGGCCAGATACTCTGAACGCGTAATTCTCGTAGCACCTGTGAAGGTGTGGAAAACGGGAAAACCCGGAGAAAAATC